TCTGAGTCTGGAATAGTCAGTTCCTACTTCCAAGTACAGCCATCACCTCAGTCACTGCTTCCACCCTGGGGAAGAAAGAGAGAGATGGTAGCGTGAAGCTGGAAATGGTGTTCACGTTCTCTTCCTTCTATGAAAAAATAAGGAACAGGATATAGATGTTTGCTCCTAAGATGAAGCGGCTGCGTGAAAACCAGGATCCCGCTGAGGGGAGTGTGGCGGGCTGATGCAGCCAGGCGTTGTCCCTCTGCACACACCGGGGTTGATGAGGGGTCCACACCCTCGGGGCAGCTCTCACAGGCAACCATTACCAGTTCAGGGACACTCCTGCTGGAGGTGGGGCTTTTCTACTGGCAGCTTTCACTAGAGGACACTCATTAGTTTGCTCAAAAATTTTCTTAGAACAGCCTGGCAGACTGAGATCCTTTCTAGCCAATGCACCTTCCCCCTCTCCCACTTGTCCCCAGGGGCAGACCTGTGCCAAGTCTGGAGGCTCCTCCCACCTTCTCTTTTAACCTTCATCCAGCGCATTTCCCCCACTTCTCTCTTCCAGGTCTAATTCTACCTGGGTATCTGCTTCTTGGAGGACCCAAACACCCACATTGTGTCCTCGGCATCTAGAACAGTGCCTCAGATGCCAAGTGCTCTGTTAAATTTTGTTAAATGGGGCCTCCCCGGTGGCGCAGAGGTTGAGCGCTGGGTTGCGAAGCTGCCCACAGCCTCTGCGGTGCCAGTTCGATCCCCGGCTGCTCCCCTCAGCAGTGTACTTCGGTCCTTTCTGCCTGCTCTGCTCCCTCTCTGGCGCTGGTGAATTCTCTCACCCTCCCGCGCTTCTGACTGTAACCAGTGCTTGTAGAAATAAATAAATAAATCTTGGGCCTCCCCGGTGGCGCAGCGGTTGAGCGCTGGGTTGCGAAGCTGCCCGCGGCCTCTGCGGCGCCGGTTTTCGATCCCCAGCTGCTCCCCGGCCACCGGAGGAGGGTCCCACATTGCCCGCAGACCTCTCCTGCCACCCGCTGCTCCCCTCAGCAGTGTACTTCTCCATCAGTCTGCCTGTTCTGTTCCCTGCTCTGGCTCTGGTGAATTCTCTCACCCTCCCGCGCTTCTGACTCTACCCAGTGCTTGTATAAACAAAACAAACAAAACAAACAAAAAAAAAAATAAAAACAAGCCTCTATAAAAATAAATAAAATAAATTTAATAAATAAATCTTTAAAAAAAATTTTTTGTTAAATGAATTAATGCACAAATAAGGGTTTGGCATATGAGCTAAGGCCTGAAGAAGGAATTAGAGAGGATTCATCAGGGACAGAGTGGAGAGCAGATCAGGCAGATGTACTGAAATACACTGCTGAGGGGAGCAGCAGGTGAGACAGGAGAGGTCTGCTGCACCATGTGGGTCAGCTCCCTGGCTGGGGATGGAACTCATGCTGCAGTGGCTGCGGACAGCTTCACAGTGCTGCATCTTAACCCCTTGCATCACTAGGGAGGCCCCCAAATGCTATAGGATCTTATAGGTCCTGATAAGGAGCTTGAGTTTTATCCAATGAATAATGGGATATCAATGGGATTTTCAATGGGTGAATGGTGTGCTCTGATTGGTGTTTTAAGACGGTTCCTCTGACTACTTTCTGAAGACTAGATTGAAAAGGGATGGGAGCAGAGCAGGACCAGGGAAGCAACCTAGACAAGAGATGGTGATAGTAGCTTGAATTCAAGGTTGCAGAGGTGTTGGAAAGAAGAGAATGAGAAGTTCATAACTATTTGGAGTAAAAGTGACCCTACTTTGCTGACTCTGTGGGGCAAGAGGAGTTGAGGATGATGCCAAGGTTGTTGGGTTGGGGAACTGGATGGCTAAATGATGACATTTGCTCTGGAAGGAGGGGGCCATTTATGGAGGCAAACTATTAGGCAGCCAAGTACAATTATCAATTAAGCAGTTAGACATAAAAGTCTGGAACTCAGGGAAGAGATCTTGGCTACAGATAGAGACTTGGCAGTAGGCACATAATAAATGCTCTGTGGGGATCTGGACAAGCTCACCCAGGGGAGGAGTGCTGACGAGAACAGGGCTCAGCACGGAGCCCTGAAGCACCACAATATTTAAAGGTGGGGCAGAAGAGGCAGCAAATGAACCCAGGAAAGAGCTTCCAGTGAGGCAAAAGGAAAATCTGGAAGCCAATAAATACAGTAAACATTTAACATTATTTGACATCACAGATAGGTTTTTTTAAAACTGTGACTTTGAGTGAAATGATATAAAACAAAAGCAGGTCCTGGCACAGAACCAACCTCCAGACCTGAGAAATACATTTCTGGGGTTGATAAGCCCCACAATAGCCCAAATGACTAAGACAAATATTAAACATGCCGGGCAAATGGTCATGCGTTAATCAAAAGCGCTAGTGACAAAAGACAAAATAAGCAGGATGCTCTGAAAATAAAACATTTTGTGTTGCAAATGTTACCATCAAGAAAATGAAAAGGCAACCCACAGAATGGGAACAATATTTGCAAATTACATATCTGATAAGACACTGGTATCCATAATATATAAAGAACGCTGATAACCATAAAAAGAAAAATAACTCAAGTAAGAGATGAATAAAGGATTCTGTCAAAGTAGAGATGTGAATGGGGCTCCCTGGTGGTGCAGGGGTTAAAGACACAGCGTTATCAAGCTATCACCAGCCACTGCAGCACCAATTTGATCCCTGCGGGCCAGGGAGCTGACCCACATGGCGTAGCAGACTTCTCCTGTCTCCCCACTGCTCCCCTCAGCAGTGGATTTCAGTAGATCCGCCTGTTCTGCTCCCCACTCTGTCTCTGGTGAATCCTCTCACCGCTCCCTCCCTACTGCCCCCCCCCCACCTCTGGCCTATGCCTCAGTTTTTGTGTGATAAATAAATAAACCTTAAAAAAAAAAAAAGATGTAAGTGGTTAGTAGAGGCAAAGATGCTCAACATCATTACGGTTAGAGAAATGAAGAGCAAAACCACAATAAGATACCATTTCACATCTACTAGTGTGGCCATAATAAAAAAAGACAATAACAGGTGCTGTGGAAACTGTAGAGAATTGGAGCCTCAGGCATTGCTGGTGGAATGTAAAATGCTACAGCTGCTTGAATACAGTTTGTTAGTTGCTCAGAAAGTTGAATATATCACACAGTAATTCTCCTTCTGGGTAAATACCCAAGAGAAATGAAAATGTGCACACAAAAACATATATATATGTTACATATATATAACATATATCCATATATACACCAATGTTTATAGCAGCATTATTCGTAATAACCAAAAGGTGACAACAACACAATGTTTCTGAACTGATGAATGGAGAAGCAAGATGTGGTATATCCACACAAGGGAGTATTATTTGGCATTGAAGAAATGAAGAACTGACATATACCTCCACGTGGATAGATCTTGAGAACATAAATTAAGTGAAAGCAGCTAGACACAAAAGCCACATAGTTTAGGCTCCTACTACTAATTCAAAATGTCCAGAGTAGGCAAATCCATAGAGACAGAACATAGATTAGCGATTGCCCAGAGGGAGAGGAGGGGAGAGTGGGCAGTGACTGTTTATAGTAAGGTCCTTTACGGGGTCATGAAAAAGTTCTGGTATCAGTGATGATGGTTGAACGACTGTGTGAATACACTAAAACCACTGCACACTTCAAGTGGGCGAATTGAACAGTATATGAATTATATGATAATCACAATGTTAAAAAAACAAGAAGATGTGAATGTATTAATGTCACCAGGAGTCCAAATTCTGACTTCCACAGAATTCCTTTCCTGGAGAGCAGATAATGTGCAAAGCCTGCGGTGGTCTAATTTTACTCACAAATTCCTTACATATCTAACTGTCAAGTTACTATTTTAAGCCTGAAACAAAAAAAAAGAAAAGAAAAGAAAAGAAAAGTAACATAATTCTGGAATGCAGTCTTCTGGGTTGTAGTGTAGTAAGCCGTCCAATACAGTGTGTTCTTTGCATGTGGCCAAAATCTGGACTTTCTGATACTTTGGCTGCTCAATTTGGATTTGTATATTATAAAATATTTATAGAGTGAGAGACAGGGGTACCAGCGAGCAAAAGGCACAAACTCCCAGTTGCAAGATGAATTCGTCCTGGGGCTGTAACGTGGAGGAAGGCGACCAGCTAACACGGGCTTCAGTGCTTGGAAGTCTCTGAGAGCAGATCTTAAAAGTTCTCGTCACAAGACATTTAAAAGCGTGTGTTAACCCAACTTTCGGGGTAATCATTTCACAGCAGGCACGTGCATCCGTTCATCACGAGCAACACACCGCAGGAGCTTCGGACCCGCGGCCCTGCCCGCTCCCTCACAGGGACCACCACGAGGAGCCCGCGGCCGCTCCTGCCCGCGCGCCCCGGGGCTCGGGACGCCGCCCCCCCCGGGACGAGCGCGCGCCCCCAAGTTCTCTGGGCCCCGCATCCGCTTCTGTTTCCCAGTTTTCGCCCGGCTTTCGGGCAGGAGCCGCCTCGCCTCAGGCCGCAGGGAGCGAGGCGGCGCCGGGGCCGCTGGTCCCGCGGCCGGGCACGCCCGTCCCTGACAGACGGTTTCCCGGTTCTTTCCTTCCAAGGGGCGCAGCCCCGGGGAGTTGGGGTGTCCGCGGGGCGCCGGGGCAGCGGGGGCGCCGCGGGTGCGGGTCCCCTCGGGGCGCCCTTCCGCGCGCCTCGCCGCCGCCGCCCGCCCGAGGCCCTACCGGGACCACCCGGGCCCGGCCCGCCGCCCCGCGGCCCCCGCGCCGTCGCCATGGCACCGCCGCCCCGCCCCCCGCGCGCCGCCCACCCGCCGCCCCGCTCGCCCCTCCCCCCGCCCCGCGCTGCGCGGGGGAGGGGCCCCGCGGGGGCGGAGGGAGACGCCGGCGAGAGGAAATCGGCGGCGCGACGCCAGCGGCCCATTGGCTGCCTCGTCTTGGGGCCAGAAGCCCCGCCTCCCCGGCGGGGTCACGTGATCCCTTTCAAAGATGGCCGCCCTGTTGTTTTGATGAATAATACTTGGTGGGGCGAGGGGGTAAGAGTAGGGGTGGAGGGGTAGGAGGATTTACTGTTCCAGCCAGAGCATCGCGGGTCCCGTCCTCCCCCTCCCCCCTGCCCGGGCGCCAGCGTGGAGGCGGGGCGTGGCCGGCTTGATTTGGGAGGGGAGGGGCTTCCCTCATCAGTGCTGGGCTCTGCCTGGGTGGCTCTGGGGTCGCCTTACCTCGGGCATCCACTCTGCAGTCGAACAGTTCCCGCCAGGGGCCAAGGGTAGGAAGGAGAGCAGGATCTGCTGGAGAAAGCGCAGCTGCCGCGCCACCTCCGCGAAGACACTGCAGGCTCGGGGCACGAGACGCGCTGGAGACCGAGCTCGCCAGTCTGGGTAACCTGGGAAGCAGAGGGTAATAAGTGGCGCCTTAAGATAGCCCTGTAGCAGCAGCGGTGGCCGCCAAAGGAGGGTGCTCAGGGCACAAGCAGCTGTAGAAGTCTTTGGGGCGATTGGAGTGACCGAAGCCAAGGCAGTTCAGTGCCTCTCGTGTTCTTATTTTTTAACCTCTGACTATGCAATTCTGAAACCTCCCCCATTCGGGGGGACCAGACAGCCCGATAGACACCTTCCACTCTCCTCCCGCCCTGGTCTCAAGAACAGAAGGATCTCTCTCTAACGCCTTTCACCATTAAGAGGAAAGCGATGGAGGAGCTGAGCGCTGATGAGGTGAGGAGGTTGGGGAACACCTTGGGAGATTAGTTGGCAACTCTTGGGCGCTTTGGTTGTGGATGATATTGCGCCAGTGGTGCCTGGCCTTTGGGCTCCGGGAAGGAATGGAGATGACATTTTCCAAGAATAAAATGAGTCTCTGAGAGGGTCTCGGTTGTATTCTCCTGTGTTCCCTTGCCTTTTTCTTCATTCTGAACTCCATTTGCTTCTTTTCGAGTTTCTTTTAGGATCTGAAGAAGAGGAGAGCATCTTGAGGCATTAATTCTTCGGGGTGTTTAAACAAGAAGGGCTAGATTTACATCAAGTTAAAATGTGTGTGTGTGTGCGCGCGCGCGCGCGCGCGCGCCTTACTGCAGCGATTTAAAGAATAATTTTGGATGGAATCAGAATGTATGGTGGGTGTATGTTTTTAAAGTTAGCACTTGGGATCCCAAGTATGTGTGGCTATTTCATGGTATAAGTTGATTAAACATGAGTTTGTGTCTGGGGGTGGCCTATAGACAGATTCGTTGATAATGTATTCTCTCAATAGTTGAATGAATTACAGTTAAAGTCTAGTAATTTATCAGATCACTTATGACTTCTGGCGCACTGCTTTCTCATGCTGCCTTTTTATTTTCTGTGCCTTTCAAACTTGTGTTTTGCTGTAGCAGACCTACTCAACTGGAAGCAAATGACGTTGTGAGCCCCTCCCCCTTCTCTTTTCTGAAAGGAATCATGCACGTCGTGATGTTTTAAAGATTATTTAATAAGATTGTCATAAAAACAGTGGCGATTAGGGAACAAGGAATTTCCTGTGTTCCCACTGATTTATCCCTTCCTTTTAACAAATTGGGAACTTCCCTTTCAGGACTCCTGCTGGCCTCACTCTCTCCAGCTTCCCTCCTCATTTCTTCCACTGGTTCATCAAAAACTTCCTGAAATAGTGTTATATTCAAAGTAGTCCTCCATCAGGTTGGTTGTACCTGTGGAAGGTCCATGCTTCAATTTAGCTACAGAGTAGTTAGTATGTGTGCTTGGGACTAAAATTCTCCAGGGATGGGACATGCCAGTTGTGGGTTAAGTAAGGGTCAAGTAGGAAAAAAGACAAATTACAAATTGTTGTGATATTTGGCTGTTTGGGAAGTCAGGGTTGCCCCTTCTGTGTGACTGACTTTGTTCCCTCATATACATCAGGATTGCAACCTTAAATTAGGATTTTGAACAGTCTTTCATTCAGGTCAAAATTATCAAGAGACCCCCCCCCCCCCCAGAAGCACTTTATTTTATGTAGTTTTTAAGTGTTGCTCCCCCCTTTTTTCTTTAATATTAATTCTATTGGATACTTTCTCTTAAGGCAAAGAGTTTGTGGTTTTAGGAGTCTTTAGCTCCCAGGAATTACTTTTTTTTCTTGACAGTCTCTCAATTGTTCCTGGTTTTATACTCTGGTTTCTCTTCAGAGCGGGTAAATCTTTCACCTTTTTAAAAATGGTTCCTGGTTTATATGTTTTGAATTTTCACTAAGAAATTGTTTTCAAACCAGTAATGCACATAACCCAGTTAATAAAGACTTTGTAGACTGAACCGTGGCTTTTCACTTTACCCAGTTCTTGAGGAAGGTGTGATTTTTTGGTGACCAGATAGAGGACAAATGTAATCATTGCGGAGGCGATAGGAGAACATTTCTGTGATGAACAGAATATTAAAATCAATGTAAAAATTTAAATTCGTGGATCAGCATAAAATGATGTTCAAATTTGTTTTCATGAACACAAAGGAACAGTTCAGTGACTGGCAATTTTACTTTCAGCTGCTCTTAGAATAAACATTTTGGGGGCGGGGGATCTCCTTAAAGCTTTTTAAGCAAACTCCATTTTCTTTTTTTTTTTTTTTTTTTAAATTATTAATGGTGCTCTATAACTTTATTTATTTATTTATTTGTTTGTTTTTTGTTTATACAAGCACTGGGTACAGTCAGAAGCGCGGGAGGGTGAGAGAATTCACCAGAGCCAGAGCGGGGAGCAGAGCAGGCAGAAGGACCGAAGTACACTGCTGAGGGGAGCAGCGGGCGGCAGGAGAGGTCTTCGCGCCATGTGGGACCCTCCTCTGGTGGCCAGGGAGCAGCCGGGGATCGAACTGGTGCTGCAGAGGCTGCGGGCAGCTTCGCAACCCAGCGCTCAACCGCTGTGCCACAGGGGAGGCCCCAAACTCCATTTTCTTTAACTCTAAAACAAGGTGTTTCTTAAGAGAGCTGGTTCCAAAGCATTTGCTTTTTTATTGTTTCTTATTGGTGGGAACTTGTGTCACAAGTAGGTCGTGACTTTTGTTAGAAAATAATCCATTTATATTAGTGAACCTTCCAACATTCATCTCTGGGTGAGAACAGGCAAGACTGTGTTCTTTCAATCATATTTAATAAAATGAAAATGTGTGAAAAATAGACCTGTAGCTTTAGAAGATTTTACATTATGGACTCCTATGGTCCCCCTGACAGTTTCCCTCCAGTTCTTATGTATTCCATCTTGGACTTTGCAGGTGGGGTGTTTCTCTGCCCTCACTGCTATTATTGTTTCTGAAGTGGTGCCTTCAGTGCTCTGTGGAACAGATCCCTGACAAAGGGATTCCCATTCTCTTGGGACCTGCATTCCAGAGCACCACTGTTTACTATCCTTCTCATGTGTTGCTCATAGGTTGTTTTTCATGTACCAATGTTGCTGTGAGTAGGACAGGTATTTTAAGCAGTTTTGCAGTTGTGGGATGTGATCACATTGAAATTATTTGCTTTTTTTCCTTCTATAAATCTTCTTTATGACCTAGTTAATCTTCAAGATGGCTGGCTGGGATTCCGGGTGTGGTCAAGGCTTTAGAAGAGTGCTTGTCTTCTTCCCAAATGTAGAAATGTGACCTTGGACTTTTTCACAGTGTGCTATAAGTGGAAAGGCACCAACATTTATTCACAGCCTTAGGAGCCTGCTCTGTGCCAGTCACTTGAAAACCATTGTCTCAATTGATAAAACAATACAATTGAGTAGGTTCTTATTTTCCTTATTGCACAGGTGAGGCAACTGAGATTTAGGTTAAGTTGCTTGTCCGTAGTGATCTGGCTTAGAAGTGGCAGAGTTGGAATTCAAACCCAGGGGTCCTGATCTAAAAGCTGTTTTTACTACACTTGACTGCTTAACAACTGGCAATGAATTCACCACGGCTTCTTTATAAATATCCTGCTAGCCTGCCTGAGCGGCATAGTTTTTCTGCGGAAGTGTCACTTTTCATAAACGCGTTCATGATGTGATCAGGTGTGGAGTCTAACTTTCATCACACCCCCGAAGTGGTTCACTCAACAAACATGTTTTTTGAAGAGGCTGTGTATCCCCAGCCAATGTGCTAGGTACGTTAAGGGAAAAACAGTCCTTTTTCTTAAAGAAATGATAATTTATCAGAGGCGGGGGTAGACACAGAAGTCCAGAGGTTACAATACTGGATACTAAGTACTAATTTGGAGGTGTCACCAGACGTAAGAAAAACAAGCCGGGATCCCTGGCGAGGCAGTGTCTTCGTAAAGACTTTCAAGGAAAAGTGATGCTTCCACAGAGCAGCAGTTGCAGAGGAAGGGCTGCTGGGGCTGGCTGTGAGGCCAGGAGCTCAGGAAACAGCAAGAAGTAGTGGGACTGGAGAGTGAGGGCAGGTAGGCAGGCACCAGCTCTTGGCGCACGTTCAGAAATGTTTGAGTTTTCTTGGTAAGATTGTAAAGAAGCCCTTGAGGGAATTTAAAGGTTTAGAAAGATCGCAAGGGTCAGAAGATGGATCGGAAGAAGGTGGCTGCAGGCTGGAGACAAATTAGGAGCTGCCACTGCTGTCTAGGAGCGAGGCAGTGGAGTCGGATCTCAGGCAGTGACACTGGGAATGGATGGGAGCAGACACCAGAAACATGGAGAATCAAACTCAGTCCACTTCTAATGATCAGTGTGATGTGTAGGGGGTGGGGACGGAGATAAGTACGGGTTTTTTTCTCTTGTTTGGGGGTGGGGTACAGAATTCTGACGAGCAGATTTGGGAGACAGCAGATGAGCTCCTCTCTATGATGAGCTAACACGGAACCCACACCCTGGCTCGCCTCTCTAGCAGCTCCACTTCTTTGACCTTGTCTTTCTTCATAACCTCAGGATCTAAGTTCACTTTTGTCCAGTTAATAGTTGCTACCACTCACTTTGGAACCAGCATTCTTCTTCCTCAGGCTGGTGGGAGAGTGGGGTGTAGGCTCTGAGCCTCCCCCCTCCTTTCCTTTTGTTTATTTTAGCCAAGAGACAGAGAGCCGTAATGTCAGCTGACGTCCCATGAGCTCTTAATATGGCCTGGCATCCCTTGCCCAGTCAGCTTGATATTGCTAACTCCGTCTTCTAGATACAAAAATTGGGGCTAAAAGAAATTAAGCCACTTGCTGAAAAGCACACATTAGTAAGTGGAGGAACCTGACTTCTAATCCAGAGTCTGATTCCAGGGTCCTTAATCCCTTTACTAAAACACCGTTAACAGAAATAACCTGAGTAATGTTCACAGCATTTTTATTTTCCCTTTTGAAATGGGAAGCGGAAGCCCTAGTTGTTGCTGAGAGTGGCACTCATTGAATAGCCCTCTGCCTTCATAGCAGGGAGAAAGACTTTTTTTTTTTTAAAGATTTTTGTCTAGAAGAACTGGGGTGCAGGCCATGGTAGGGGGGAAGAGGTTTCACCAGAGACAGAATGGGGAGCAGAACAGGCGGATTCACTGAAATACACTGTTAAGGGGGGCAGCAGGCAAGACAGGAGAGGTCTGTTGCGCCATGTGGGTCAACTCCCTGGCCGGGAATCAGACTCAGGTCGTCACAGTGGGCCTTTGCTGTCGTAGCACTGAGACTTAACCTCTGGGTCACTAGGGAAGCTCCAGGAGAGACTCTTGATGAGGGCTGTGGGCTCTCCAGGCCTTTGCTCAATGCAGAGTTCATTTTTCTCATGGTTCTAGAAGCATGTCTGGGGTGGTGAAGTCTTCCTGGAGTGTTCATTCAACAGTGGTTTGCTGCCTGGCTACACCCTATGAGCCTTGCTTGCATGCAGCTTCATCCTAGTGGGAGGAGACCTAGGATGACCAGACACACGGAAGAGGTCAGTTGTGATGAATGCTATGAAGAAAAATGGCGTAGGCTGAAGGAATGGAGAGCAGTGGGGTGGGTGCAACTTTAGGAGGTGGCTTTTGAATAGTCAATGATGACAAGGCACTGTGGGAGGGGGAGGAAGCGTGTTCCCCGGTGTTGTGGCCTTGAGGTGGATGCATTTGCTCCAGCAAGTGGTGAGGCCACAGAGGCGGGAGATACAGCCCTTCATTCTGAAGATTGACTTCTCGACACTAGGTTTCAGTCAATTCTGAGAGGCCCTCCCGCCCCACACCCTCTTCTGCCCCCCATATCTTAACATCTCTGAAATTGGGAAGCTTATAATGGCTTAGTCACCTTTGGCCAGATGGCAGCTGTGACACAGGTGTCACTTCCTGTGGATGTGCAAACCTGATTCTACCTGTTCATATTATTGGCCCTTTAGACGAGTGCTACACCTGTTAAATTTAGTTGCCATTTTTAAATGCCTTCCCCAAAAGGACACTTGGATCAGCCTTGAAAGCAAATGTTACTTTGTATGCAGACAGCAATGGAAACAGCAGTGGATGTCAAATTTGCTGTTACTGAAAAAAATGTTGTTGGAGGAATGACCACAATCCAGTATTTTATTGCAGAGCAAAACCAAGCGCACTAGCGAGCTTTACAGAGGCAGAAAGCCACAAGTCCCTGAAGCTGTGTCACCTTTAAAATTGAACATGCATTTAGAAGGATTGCCTTTCCCACCCAGGCAACGCCGCGAAGGTCAGAGTAACTCTGCATTCCTTACACAGAAATTTCAAGGCAGTGAGAGGCTAGGGTTGATCACCGCCTTGTCCTTGTCTGCTATTAAGGCGTTCTGTTGTGGTTTAACAGGCAGTATTCTTTTTGTTGTTGTTGGTGTGAAAATCGTGTTGCGACTTCTTGGTGATGTCTTACGTGAAATGCAGTCCACATCCTCCCCCGCTTACAATGGGGTCACATCCCAATCAACCTGGTTGTAAGTCAAAAGCCAAAAATGTGTTTACTACACCTAACCTCCCAAACAGCACAGCCTGGCCTCACCTGCATGCCCAGAGCACTGATTAGTTAATAAATGTTAATAATTAATTAGTAATAGGAACACTTGCTGGGATCATGCTCAGTGAAATAAGTCAGAAAGAAAAAGAAAAATACCAGATGGTCTCACTCATAGCAAGAATTTAGAAAACCTAAATAAGGGGCCAGGAAAAAGACTAATTAATACAAAGTAAAAATCAAGATCAACAAGCAACTATAAACCAGAGACACGCTACGGGGTAGGGAGGGACGGGAAGAGGAAGGACTAGGGTCAAAATAAGGGGGGTGCAAATGTATGGGGAATATAATCAAAATGAAAATGCATACATATGCAAAAATGAAAAATGATATAAGAATTATATAAAATAAAATATTTTTTTTTTAAAAAGAAGACTTGCTAACCAACGGTCCTGCAAAATCATCTTTAGAAAGCCCATGTTGTCAGAAGTGTTGCAGGCAGTTTATCGACTGCCGTACTGGGGGTGAGAACCAGCCCCAGAGTCTTGGATGGGCCGTTGTCATCCTGGATGGTGGGGCTGCCTGGGACCTGCCGCCGCTTCCCAGCACAGAGGGCGGCGCCGTCTCTTGCTCACCCAGGAAAAGATCAGACCACGAGTTTGCCTTCTGCTCACTCTGTGTCGCTTTGGCACATGGTAAAGTTGAAAAGTCGTCATTTGAACTGTTGTTGGCCTGTATATGCACTGTTCCCAGCCACGAGGACACACCAATGAGCAAAACAGGCAGAAGGCCCTGGCCTTGTGGGGTTTACATTCTGATTCATGTTTTAAAGGAAACATGTTGGCTCTGGCTGCTGTGATGAGAATAAAGGGGTGAGGAGTGAGAGCAGGAAGAGGAGGAGGCCATTTCAGGGGTCCCAGGGCCAGGGTTATTGGTGGAGAGGGTGAGAGAGGTCAGATGGTGGGTGGGCAGGTGTGTGTAGAGCCAGTGGCATGGCGTGATGGAGTGCGTTGGGGTGTAAAGGGACGGCGCCAAGGATGCCTCGTGAGTCAGGATGTCGTCAGTGGACCGTTGTAGCAGATGCGCTCTGGCAGCTGCTTAAAGCGATCGATATTTATTTCTCTCTAAATAGAAGCCTGGGTAGGAGACTGGGGCTGCGGTGGCAGCTCTAGGCTCACGGGGGGCCCGAGCGCCTTCTGTCTTGTTGTACCAACTTGCAGAACACATACCTTCCATCTTTCGGCCCACATATGTCTGCCTGCTGGCCAGTGGGCAGAGAGGCGAGGAGGAGTCTCGTGCCTTCTCGAATGGCGCGCCTTACAGGTGGCCTGGATCACTTGTGCTCGCCTCCCACTGGCCAGAACCTGAGTCACATGGCCACAGCTCCTTGCTGGAAGCCTGAGAAAGATGGTTTTTATTGGCTAGCCGTGTGTTCTGCGGAAAGCTCTCTGATGTCAGAAGGGGAGAAAGGACTAGGCTTTTCTTTCTAAACGCTTCTTCCCAAATCTAAAATTCTGCATCTTCCCAGAGACCACCTCCTGTGTACTTCGGAGTCTAGGACCTTTAGATAAAAATACAGGTTAGCTGCTGCCCCCACCCCTTCCATATGCCATGGCAGGGTGGGGTAAAACAGGGGAAAGAAGAGCTTCCATTTGGAAGAGGAAAGGATGGGGCACGCAGACCCTCCCTGACCTGTTTCCCTGGTCACCTCCCGCCAGGCTGCATGTGGGGGCTCCCGCCTTGGCACTGGCGAGATGCCCTGGCCTTGCCTGTTGAGTAGCCCCGGGTCTGCCCAATCAGGGGAGCTCCCATGAGTCCTGTACGCTGTGGCCCTCTGGGCAGATTTTCCACTTGTCCTCCTCTGGGGCCAGGTCTGGCGTGGGCATGAGAGGAGAGCCCTTTCCTGGGTGGGCCAGCTTCTCCAGCTGGTTTCCTGAGGGGTGCTCAAGGGGTGGGCCTTTCCAACCCTGTGAGTCCCCAAATTACCAGCCTCTGCCTAAGCTTACGACTGTAGACCTAGGACATGCCTCGGGCAGAACTATATTCCCTTTCATTTCTGCCGGTGAAGGGGCAAGCTGTAGCCTGAGTGGGCCTCACCTTGTGGGCCTTCTTGCTTAAGGTGGCAAGAAGCCAGTAGGCATCCAAATTCTGAATTGTTCAACCAGTTCCCCTAGAATTACAGGCCGTGCTGGCATGTGGGCTGTTTTCTAAGGTGCCACAGGTTTGACCAAATGTCTCATTGTGGCCTAACAAGGGTCACCAGACTTCTGTCCTGTGATGCCAGTGCCTGTGCTGCCCCCGAAGCCAATGCCACATGTTTTAATTCTGTGAAGACTGATTACTGCCAGGTTCAAGTTCAGCATTTAAAAAGTCGGGTGATGTGAAGACCCCAAAAATGAAACTAATAGTAGGATATTGGTTTGGTTTGGCTGCTGCAGCAGAGAGATCTAAATGACTAATGGCACAAACAAGATAAAAGCTTATTTTTCTTTTAAGTCAGAATCTGGATAGATGGTTGAGTCTGGTTTAGCGACAGACACCGTGGTTACTGGGGAGCCAGGATGAATCTGTTCTTCTGTTCTCTCATCCTCAGTATGTGGCACCTAGCTTGTAGCCCAAGATGGCTGCCCCAGCTCCTTCACTCTCATCAGTATTCCCGTCCTTGGGAGGAGACTGGAGAGGGGAGGAGGGCACATTCCCAAGCCCTAAGGACAAGTCACACGTCACTCCTTACAGCTCCTCAACCAGACATAGTCATGCGGCCACTACCAAATGCAAGAGTGGCTGAATGTGTGTTAGGAGGCGACTAGCTGTCTCTGCAGCGAGACCAAGAGTTTCCACCTAAGTGACTTGAAAACAGTTGTCACATAGTGAGAGGGGAAATTTGGAAGACAAGATTTGGAGGGAGAAATGCACTTACCTGTCTCGGTTGTAGTGTGATTCCAGTGCTTGTTAGTACCCCTGTGAGGTCTTGGGTTCGTTGCTAGGTGTACAGTTCTAGAAGGGGCACTGAGCCTCGAGCTACTCCAACATTTAGAGATTGGGAGAAATAGAGATCCTGGAAAAGATCAATAAAGGACACCGAGAAAGGCGGAAAGGTGAGTGTCCCTGGTGAGGGGCATGTTCAGCGCTGTCACGCCAATAAATCAGGGGAGACAAGACTCACTGAAGGGATTTGGCAACACGGAGGTTATTGGTGATCTTGACAAGGCCAAGTTCATCACTGGAAGAGGTTCGAGAGACAGTGCATAGGAGGAGAGCATCTCGGCTCAGGAGTGAGGCACTGGCTGCAGGGTTGTGCTGAGGGGCCATCTGTACGTGGTGGGAGCCATGGGTTTAAGAAGTGAGATGAAATTATTTGGCGAGCATAGCCTTTTAAATTGTGTATTTTCCTATTCCCCATCATAATCACAGATTTCTTTATCCTCATCCTTCAGTAAGTATTCAGTGTCTGTCTCTCTTTCCCTGCGCTGGAAGTAAAGATGCAGAGGTAGGTTTGTTTATTATCCCTAGCAGGGTGTTTTGGGCCTGAAGAGTTCCAAATATAAATTCTGAGTCATAATCTGGGAAACACTGGATCATACTATCATTCATTTTTAGAGCATTAAAAATGAAACCAAGTGGCAAATACATACATGGTAAAATATCTGAATATTAAAAAGTTCTGTTCAGTTTAAACCAGTGTATATGGGGGTTTGCTCTCTGCTAGGTCCAAGGTGTATGCATGGAGAGATGCCATGTCCAGTGTGAGCGAGACCGGGGTTCTGCCTTCAGCGAGCGGGCATTCAGGTGGGGAGACCGGAACACAGAGTTAAGGGCTAACAGAGATATTTCCATGAAGCGAGTACAGTCAGTGGAGCAGTTAATTCTAACTGGGGAAATCTGGGAAAGGCTTAGGGAGCATTTTGACATTTAGAAAAATCTGTGGTGAGGATAAATGTTTCTGTTACTTCTTACTCTCATTCATTTGAAATTGATTGTGAAAGTGTTAGAGCCGTTGAGGAAAAACTGAAGATGGTGCCAGGCTCAGGCCCAGGCACAAGTTCAGGCCCAGGTTCAGGCCCAGGTTCAGACCCAGGTTCAGGCCCAGACCCAGGCTCTGGCTCTGTGTCAGTTTCAGGCACATCGTGGCCATTTTACAGGTGCTCCAGACTGCTGCAATCAGGTGGACCTTGCCATAAAGCAAGTCACCACTTATTTTGTTTCCTGTACATAGGAAAGTTAGGCCCAGGCTGTATTGTCTACTAAGTGCGCTAGCATGATGTCTCAAAGATATTGTTGGACAAACGACACCGATAAACTTGCTTGACTAAGCAGTGTTGCCACAAACCTTTAATTTGTCTAATTAAAAAAAAAAAGCATTATCTGAGGTGTTGTCAAGAGAAGTGCAGTAAAACAGGGTATGTCAGTGTGGGGGGATGGGGGTGCTTGCTGATCTGAAAGATTTTGAGATGCGATTATCAGTCACTGCTAAATGTATAACCTCAAACTCTCCTAAGCCACCAAACTCAATGAAAGCTGAAGGAGAAGTTCGGGAAGCACAGGGAAGGTGTTTGATTATTTCTGTTCCCCTCACACTAATCACTCCGTTTTGGGGTGATCTAGCAAGGTGGAGCTCCTTGTGTTCCAGAAGCCCCCAAAATTCCCAGCTATTCTTGCTCATGGCTTTATTTTTTATTTTTTTATTTTTAAAAAGATTTATTTATTTATTTATACAAGCACGAGTACAGTCAGAAGTGCGGGAGGGTGAGAGAATTCACCAGAGCCAGAGCGGGGAACAGAACAGCAGAGCGACGAAATACACTGCTGAGGGGAGCAGCGGGCGGCAGGAGAGGTCTGCGCACCATGTGGGACCCTCGCCAGCGGCCGGGGATCAAACCGGCGCTGCAGAGGCTGTGGGCAGCTTCGCAGCCCAGCGCTCAACCGCTTCACCACCAGGGGAGGCCCTTTTTATTTTTTAAAGATTTATTTATTTATGCATACAAGAACTGGGGTATAGGCCAGAAGTGTGGGGGGTGGGGTGAGAGGATTCACTAGAGACAGAGTGGGGAGCAGAATAGGCAGATCTACTAAAATACAGCGGGTAAGTCAGAAGAGGTCTGCTGCGCCATGTGGGTCACCTCCGTGGCTGGGGATCGAACTCGTGCTGCAGTGGCTGCGGATTGCTTCATAGTGCTGATGCTTAGCCCCTTGCGCCACCAGAGAGGCCCCTCGTTCATTGCTTTTTAAGCCTTCTCTTTGCACAGGGTTTGGGACAGAGGGGCCCACAATGAATAAAGAGACCCAGGCCTGAGATATGTGTCTTTTTGTCAAGACTCCCATTTCTTGGGTTGCAGCAGATTTTTTGTCTACATTATGACTGTAGTTAGGTTGAAGTATGACTTCGTGGTGTAATCAGAGAGAGATCTGCGTGGGTTACATTTGGACCAACCAGTTACAGGACCTGGACAAAGAACTTCACCTTTCTGAGCCTCAAATTTCCTCACTCCTACCTCATGCTTCTGTTCATCAGATTGATGACAAGGTCCAGAAGTACCTGGCGCAGTGCTTTGGCGAGTGGAGTCTCAGGGCATATTAGCCCTCTCTTCCAGAGTGAGACTGGATCGTACATAGCTAGAATTTTAGCTGGTGGCTGTAGTGCCAGGAAGGCAGAGAGCGGGTTCTTTGTGATCCGGGCAGACGGGTAAAGGAGAGTGCTGAAGGCCTCGGTGGCTTTTCAGGCTTTTATTGAGCTTTTACATGTAGTGCGGCACCCAGGTACATGGCAGGCAGGGGTGCCGGGTGGGGGGGGGGTGCGGCTAGGAGGCTGGCAGACCTCCCAGCCCCCGGTAAATCTTCACTCTTTCCTGGGCTCTCTCGCGTTCTCTCGTGGGCTCTGCTTCTCTGCTTGTTTTCTTCCTGCTACTCTTCTTTTTTGTTCTGACTGTAGTATGGAGTTTCTCCACACACCATACCACACCACACCGTCTTCTGCCGCCCTGGCCTTATATGCCCAGTCTCTTGGCTCAGGTGCGCCCACCGATGCATGCCCACACCCTACTCCAGGTCCAGGTGTCCGCCATCAGGCATGCATTTAATCTAATGGTGGGAGGGCGGAAAAACCTGATACTTTTTACTTGCCCTGCAGTGGCCATATGACATCTAGCAGACACTGAGTGTAATGTGCCAAGAGCATAAAAGGCAGTATCTTCCTGGTAAAGGTATTAAGTAGGTTGGTGTGAAAGTTTGGGTTGGGAACCTCTCCTTCTGCCCTCACCCTAACCCTAACCCTAAAACCTCTTTTCTCCTTTGAACACAATAACACCAGCAGCCTAAAGGCTGAGGCATCTTCTGGTTAAAGTGGCCGACAGGCCTTGGCTTGTGAGAGAGGCTGTCGGGGTTCTCTCCCTGCACTCTTTGTGCTTCCTGAAATCTCTTCTGCTCCAGGGGCCATCTCTTGTTTGAAACCACATTGTTGTCACTCATCAGGCCTCCTTGTCCCCTTTTCTAAAACTGGGAGTGACCTGAGTGTGCTGAGCAGGTGAAGGTGGAGAGAGGAGTGGAAGGCAGGGGCCTCTGCAGCCCGGGACAGGAAGGTGCCAGAACAAGTGTGCTGCCACTGAGAACAAGAATATAAGTGGACGTGACTTGGTCTCCTCCAACCAGTTGGTCTACTCGGTCTTCTCGAGGGACCAGCCCCTTCCCAGCGGGACTGGGGGGCAGGGGTCTCTGATCAGATGTCACTTGTTAACTGCTCACCAGATGCTTTGCATCCTGCCCAGTAGTTCAAAGACCACAGCCTGGGAGGAGAGGTGCTTGGCCTTGGCTTACTTCACCTTTTTTTTTTTTTTTAAGATTGATTTATTTATTTATACAAGCACTGGGTACAGTCAGAAGCATGGGAGGGTGAGAGAATTCACCAGAGCCAGAGCGGGGAACAGAACAGGCAGACCAACGAAGTACACTACTGAGGGTAGTGGGGAGCAGCCCGCGGCAGGACAGGTCTGCGCGCCATGTGGGACCCTCACCCGGTGGCCGGGGATCAAACTGGCGCTGCGGAGGCTCCGGGCAGCTTCGCAGCCCAGCGCTCAACCGCTGCGCCACCAGGGAGGCCCTTACTTTACTTTTAATATAAACGTTGTGAAGTGTGGTGGGCGCACGTGGTTCCTTTGCTCCCCGTGGGGTTTGGTGGAGCTT